ACCATTGCAGGTAGTAACTCGGGATATTAGATAGCACTTAGCAAGATGGCACCATAAACCCCTTTTTCATTAAGATACATTGCACTGTATAAGACACCATGTACAATGTATTTCTGTTTTAATGGCCAAAAGACAACCCTAAACTGATTCAAATGAATACACTACATTTCTAAACGCTTTATTAAAGTTTTCCCTCCTCTCACTTTACCCCCAAACGACACCCCACCCTCCCCCACCTGCAGCCCTGATGTACGCCAGCATCTTTGGGAATGTGTCGGCCATCATCCAGAGGCTGTACTCGGGAACGGCTCGCTACCACACCCAAATGTTAAGAGTCAGGGAGTTCATCCGCTTCCATCAGATCCCCAACCCTCTCAGGCAGAGGCTGGAGGAGTACTTTCAGCACGCCTGGTCCTACACCAATGGTATTGACATGAATGCAGTAAGTTTTGACCCATACACACTCAAATTTTGCGTGCCCACCTAATTTCTTAATATTATTATAAGTATGTTGTTTGGAGTGGTTGTAGGAATTCAAAATTGCTGCCACGAGCATTTGACACAAAAAGGCAATTCAGTCAGTTTTTCAGGTATTTTTCTACAGCCTGATACTTTACATGAAAAAAGATAAAATGATCTAAAATTGGGATGAAGGATGTGATTGATGTGCATTCCTTCAAGTAATAATTGGCCTTTTATTTAAACATTTTCAATCACATTCACAAGGTCATTCTGCCAATGTTTTTACAGCCTGTACAGCTATACAAAACTGTTTGTGTTTGCACTCTATTAGAGAAAAAAAAAAGGTCTTTTCTGTAGAAAGTTTCTAAACCTTTTAGTGTGGAAAAATTTCATTTGTTTGGTATTTTGATTGAAAAAGAATCACGTTTTTCCTGAGAACTTTGGAGGTGTAAGCCTATTACTAAAAGTAGTTTGTTCAAATTGTCCTCACTCCAGCTTATTAGTGCCCGACTTCCAAGGTTGTATTGTTTTTATTATTTATTTTTTCCCCATCAAGATAAATTGATGTGCCATTTGCTGTTGCTTTACTATCAATCATAACTTACTGGATAAGTAATGCATTAGCAGTGGCACCTCATAAGTTACACTGTTTTATGCTTCCATAAATGCTAAATGGCTAAATGTTCCAAACTCTGAAGTCACAAACAATATTTTCTAACTGAATGTAATAAGAGTGAAATTTTAGTTTTTTTAATTATAAACATTCCTACTTTGTGAAGTCAGTCATGTTACTTTAAAGGATTGGCAGTGAGCTCATTAAAATATCATCAATTCTTTCTATAAATTAATTCCTTTAGGTCTGGTAATCCACCTAGGGAAATACAATGTTATACATGTGCAACAGAACTAAATTAAATCAACACATAGACCATTTTAAAGTTGAAAACTACTGAAGCCTTTCTTCTACTTGTTAAAATCAAAAAGAAATGCTGCTTCCTGCTGTTGTTGTTATTCACTTATTCGACCTTTTCTTATTGTGCATCAGTTTTTTTTTTCTCCCAAATTGTATTTTCCTTCCCGCTTCTTCTCTCATCTTCTCGACAGGTACTGAAAGGTTTCCCAGAGTGTCTCCAGGCAGATATCTGCCTCCACCTGAACCGAACCTTGCTGCAGAACTGTAAGGCTTTCAAAGGCTCTACTAAGGGCTGCCTCAGGGCTTTGGCCATGAAGTTCAAGACCACCCACGCACCCCCGGGAGACACGCTGGTTCACGCTGGCGACGTCCTCACTGCCCTTTACTTCATATCCAGAGGATCTATAGAGATCCTTCGAGGAGATGTGGTGGTAGCTATCTTAGGTAAATACATCTCACCCCCACCCAAGTTCAATCCATCTTTTTAACTGCCTTGCTGTTCAGGATTGCAGGGGAGTTTGTGCCTATCTCTAGCTGTCATGGTGCGAGAGGCGGGGTAGACCCTGGATAGTCCATCACCTGGCCACACACAGACGATCGAGACAGACAAACGTTCACACACACACACTCACTCCTAGTGAAAATATTGTTACCGATTTATAAAACATGTATGTTTTTGGTGGTGGGAGAAAACCAGAGCACACAGAGACAACCCACACGTGCACAAGAAGAGGACAGAAACTCCACACAAAAAGGTCACAGCCAGGCTGTAAACCTGTAGCGTTCATGTTGTGAGGCAACAGATCTATTGCCGCACCGCTGCTCTCTAAGTTTTCCATGATGGAACTTTAAGTGCCTGAGACATCAAATGTTTGTAACGAATATGGAAACATTATTGGAAAGATAACACAGCATATAACAAAAAAAATGTTTAGATGAACACTTGTTGAGATATTTGCGTGAACGGGAAGTGATGACAAAGGGGAGCGGGTGAACAAAGCATTGCTGCAAGAGCTGACAACACAGACTGAATCTGGTGTTTCTTTAGATTATTTTGAGTCACTATCAGAGAGATGAAATAGAGTCACAGTTCAAATAATATTGTTTTAATAAACAAAGATCATGGAGTTCCCTTTCGTAAAGAATTCCCCTTTGATGTCACTTCCTGTTTCACTTTGGCTGTGCCAAGTTCTAAAGAAAATATGCCATTTATGTGATAAAATGTATAAAATCACGTGTATTATGTCGTTTCTTAAATATAAAGATGTTTTCTTCGATTTTTGGATTTGAAGGATATGCACTTCACATGCACTTTAAACTATAATACGGCACATGATGTACTTGGTACTTTTTCACATATCAGGCATATACTCTGTAATCATGGTTGCACATTAACAAAATAGAAAACCTACCAAGAGGGATGAATACTTTTGGAACCGGCTGCAGGTGGCTGTGATACGTGAGCTGCCTCTCAGCTGTGAGATATAAAACTTAGGTTGCAGCACCATCTACTGGAAAGCACACTGTATTCTTCAATGCTGACTGAAGAAAACAGAAAAACAGTATGCAAAGGCTGAACTCTAATTCTGTATTACCATCTTATTTATTTATTTATTTATTTACTTACTTACCAAAGGACACTTGCTTTTTTCTATCATCTGAAATGCATTTTTGGTTCTGACTGAGTGGTGGGGGGATGCTGAAGGTTTAAAACTCTCATGGGATCATTCTGTGGGCTGTTTTCTGTGAGCTCTGAGCCGTTTACTACTATATTGTTTTTTATGACTGGATTGGTTGTGAAACTAAGAGATGCCAAATATCACCAACTCTGCTGATATCACCTTTTTTACCCTAAATAAATTTTCTCAAAGTAATAGTTCCTCACGTTCCCTCTTTTTTCCCTTCACAGGGAAGAACGACATCTTTGGTGAGCCCATCAACCTGTATTCCCGACCCGGTAAATCCAATGCTGACGTGAGAGCTCTTACTTACTGCGACCTCCATAAAATTTTAAGAGAAGATGTTTTGGAGGTGCTGGACATGTATCCTGAGTTTGCAGATCACTTCTGGAGCAACCTGGAAATCACCTTCAACCTCAGAGACGTGAGTTTTCTTAAGAACGCACCACCACCGAGGAAAAACGTCTGAGATTGTGTGAAACAAATGTAGGGTTTCCTCTCTTTGTGTGTCGCCCTGTGTCAAAGCAACAGAAATATTTTAATTAAAAATAACGGTGTTTATTTCAGACCAACATGATCCCAGGCTCTCCGAGCAGTGATGACTCCACCTGTGGGGGATTCAACAAATTACGGAGACGAAAGTTATCGTTTCGAAGACGTACAGAAAAAGGTATTTTATCCTCTGTTGATTATGAGTCACACTTTGGTTCAATACTGCGTTAAAAACTCAGATATTTATGTTCTTTAATGTCTTCAAGTGGTAGGTCTAAATAAGAAGTAAAGTGCTCTCTTTGAAATTTAACCTCATTTATTTAAAAAACATAACTTTTGCAGTAGATATGAAATACATTGTTGAATAAATGAACTGGCTAAGTAAAAAACTTACTTAATTGACTTGAAATTTGAAACAACTTGATCTAGCATGGTAAATGAATCAAACAGCACAATGCATTGCACTGCTGTGTAAGAAAAATACGTATTCAATAAACTGAAGTCGATGTTAAAACCACCATTGTTAAATAAAATGATTTGTAGAAGGAATCAAACCATACAACACCAGAATTCTTGATCTGAGTGAGGTTTATTGTCACTTGAGTTGACAGGAAACCAACACTGGCTTAAAACCAGAAAATTCATCAATTTATACAGGTTCTTCAATGCCCGCTCTCGCCCCCTACTGACCTACGGCTGAATCACAGGCATTCAGACAAAATTCTCACCTAATGTTATCATAACGGTTGATTATATGTTGTCATATAATTCGGACATGTAACTAATCTATTATCAATCAAAACATAATAGATTAAACATTGTCAACATTACAAAAAGGAAAACCTAAAAATAAAGTGTTGTGCTTTTAACATCAGTACTAACCTCAAATAACTATAAATTTCTTCAGCTGCACAGCAAGAATTAATACAGTTGAACACATTACAAGATAAAAAAAAACCTCAAAATGGAATCATTGTTTTAATGAATTAATTTAGACAGAAGTACTAAAAATTAAATAAAAAAATAATCTGACTTTTTTTTGCATCTCAGTCCTCCTTTAGGAAAGTGTGGCGAACTGTGTTCTGCTTGCTCACTTAAATGAACCTAGTTACGCTTGACTGAATATTCTTTCGTTAATCTGGCTGTGACCACCTTTGTCCAGATGATGCTGCAGATATAAAAAAGTCTCAAAAAGCGTCAAAGCAAAGGCAGAAGGAGGCAGCCAGCAACAAAAAAGAGAAGGAGGAAGTGGCTAAAAGACAGTGGGGGGCACGTCGAAGCTCAGCATCTCCAAACTCCAGTGGGGATGAGGTATTACACTTTATTATTATTATTATTATGGCCAGTTTATATTATCTTATATGCTTTTTATTTTTTTCTTTGTCGTAAACCAAGAGAATAAATCTAATAAGAACAATATTCTGAATCTACAATAACAGGGGGACAGATCAATCGTGATTGGCCTTGCTCCACCACCTACAATGACTCTGAAGACTCAAGCCCCTCCCAGAAACTTTAGTGAGAATACTGAGGGTGATGGGGACCCCAAAGCGGGGAACGCATGCAATGCCTTTTCAGGTAAAACCTCCAGTGAAGAACATCTTACTATCCTTTTGAAAAAGCTAAAATCATCGCTCCGTATTATATAACATACTGATTCCCTGTTACCTTTAGGAGCATTCTCTGAGGTGTCCAACATTTTTAGTTTCTGGGGAGAGAACCGAGGGGCTAGTCGGTACCAGGAGGTCCCCAGCAGCAGCCTAGCCTCCCTTCCGCCTGTAAACACATCGCACCACAGCATGAGTCAACAGAAACGCAATCAGCTGGACACACGGCTGGACCTGCTGCAGAAACAGCTCATCAGGTACAACCGACAAAGACGGTTGAGTTTCAAGTCTTGTTTAAATGTTTGCTGCTTCCCCAGACATTCCCAGTGATCATATGTGCTCTTTATTTTGGTGTCTATTCTTGCAACAAGCTGAAGCGCCCCCTGGTCCTCCCTCCCACCAAGAATATTAAGTGATAAAGAGCCACTTGACAATAACTACCATGGTAGCTCATAACACTACAGCAGATTCTCAGTTACTCGATCAAACTAGCTCTAAATTCAGGTTATTTTCTTTTTTGACTTTTTAAAATGTATTTATGATAGCTGTCAAAGAGGGTATACTCAAACACCCACTGAGTTACTAACATTTAAAACCTCTGTCCCAAGCGATGATATCTGTCTGATTTAAGACATCCACAGTGGTTCCAGACATTTGGATGCAAAAGAAACAATGACGATTGTCCATTGGCTCCCACGTATAATCATGTGTTTTAAACTTCTTGACAGGCAACAGTCTTGGAAGATCAACACTGTCTTATCGAGTTTGCAGATGATACTGCTGTTGTTGGACTGATTTCAAATGAGGAAAAGTCTATGTATAGGAGGAGGTACTGATTGGTGTAAGGGGAATAACCTGAGCATCATTGTGACAAAAACAAAAGAGAAAGTGGAGAACTTGGGAAGGAGAGTTTACAAGCCCCTCCCCTTTTTTATTGTAGGCGCAGCCATGGAACAGATGAAAAAAGTCAAATAGTTGGGCCAAACTTCCATGAACACAGTCAGCATTGTTAAGTGTTACCAACAACTGTATTTTATAAGAAAGCTGAACCACCCCAGCCTCAGTGTTGCTGTGCTGGAGAGCGTCCTTACATTTTCTATCATATTGTGTATGTTTCCAAACACTTCCTTTCAGTTATCTGAAATGAAGAACAGTGTTTAAATTGCATGTGAAAAAAGAAAGTCAGGATCAGAAGGTCATCTTGCACTCACTGCGTGCAGGTTGGAGAATCGCATGTCAGCGGACATTGGCGCCATCATGCAGCTGCTGCAACGACAGATGGCCCTGGTTCCTCCTGCCTACAGCGCAGTTTCTTCACCTCCTCAGGTAGAGACTGTTACCATGTCTGCAGGTGGCTGGATGAAAACGGGTTTTATTACCTCTAGGGTATAACAGAGGATTTGCAAAGGTGGCAGGTCAATCTTTACACAAGGCGTTTCTTTTCTCTGTAGCCCTCACCCTTTCTCGATCCTGATCCAGGACCAGACCTAACAGAGAGGTTGGGAGAGAGACAGCCTGTGGAGACAGAAGCACCTGCCTCTCCATCACAGGTGAGGCTTGTAGCGTAGACTCTGGAAATTGTTCTGGATTTGTATTTAAGATTTGGAATTGTTTCTTTTTGTTTGCCATGTAGCGCCTTTAGATATATTTTGTTGCAAGATGTTGCTATATGAATAAACTAAATTAAATTTCAACTGAGTTAAAAATACTTTTTGCTAAAGGTGCACAGATTGCCTTAATTTTGGGAGATGGGCTTCTCATACCTCCACAAATTCTGAAAATCAGCCACTGTCCCCTTTTGCTCTCCTGTGAGCACTGATGTGCAATTAAAACAAGTTTGTATTGTTTCAATGGTATTGTTCAATGTTTTGCAATAAAATAAGATTGGAATATTGAAGCATTGAAGTGTCAGCTATTTAAAAAAATCAGTATCGTCCAAAATCAGAATTGACAGGTCAGGCTTTTTAAAGATCGGTGATAGGCCAGAAAACTGCAATCAGTGCACCCTAGGGACTACAGATGTCAATTAGCCTTATCAATCAATCAATCAATCAATCAATCAATCAATCAATCAATCAATCAATCAATCAATCAATCAAACTTTATTTATGAAGTGCTATAACATCAGCCACTGCTGAAACAAAGTGCTGAACACCTGAAATAAAAACTGAATACAAATACACAATAAAATCACACAGTTAAATAAGTAAAATCAGCACCAATACAGTAAAAGTTGAGTAAAATCAAATCTCAGTTGATTAGGCTAAATCTGGTGCAATGCATCAAATTATGTTTTAATTGTACACTGTCCGAAACAAATAAAATCATTCATTCATTCATTGGGCCTCATGCAAGAACATGTTCGTATTCTTTTTTTTAATCAAAGTATTTTTTATTATTTTTCAGCATAATCACAACAAAAAACAAACAACAAACTTACAAAAACACAAACACCCGAAATCCCACCCCTCCCACCCCTTCCCGGATCTACTGAACAACAAAAATCGATCTTGTATTAATACAAGTGATGCAATAAAAAGGTTTGTGTACAGTGAAACAATATTTAACCTTTACACAAAGTTATCTGCCGAAATTTTTTCAACATAAGATAAAAATGGCTGCCAAATATCAAAAAATTTGTTTACAGATCCCCTGACAGTATATCTAATCTTCTCTAAATAAATGTTAGACATAACTTCTCTTAACCAATGACCATATACTGGAGGATGTGGATCCTTCCATCGAAGAATAAGTCTTCTAGCCAGTAGAGAGCAGAAAGCTAACACCGTCCTCTGATGTTCACTGAGGGAAGCCTCTGCTGGAGCCACCCCAAARAGAGAGATGAATGGTGATGGATGAACAGTTCGTCCAAATAGTCCTGAAAAGGTGTCAAAGATGCCTTGCCAATATCCATGTAGCTTTGGACAAGACCAGAATGTGTGCAGAAGTGTGGCAGGAGATTGTCTGCAGCGATCACACGTCGGATCCAAGTCCTTTTTGAATTTGCACAATCTGTCCTTGGACCAGTGTAGACGATGTACTACCTTGAATTGAACTATAACATGTTTCACACATATTGAGGACGAATATATTTTTTGGAATAATTTTTTTGCCAAACTGTGTCTGATATGGATTCTCCCAAGTCCATCTCCCACTTGCCCTTCAAAGAATCTAAATTGGAGTCAGAAAATGAGCTGAGCAGAGAATAAATTCAATTGTCTCAATTGTAAATACCTGAAGAACTGTGACTTATGGATGTCAAAGGTCTGTGCTAACTGTTCAAATGAGGCGAACTTATTGTCTATATAAAGATCATTTAGAGAAGTTCATCCATCCATCCATTTTCTTCCGCCTATCCGTGGTCGGGTCGCGGGGGCAGCAGCTTCAGAA